AAACAAAACTATACCAAAATCAAACACGTCTTAATATTCTTTCAGTCTGTATTTGAGTGATCTTAACTTTTTACGGGTAATTTAGGCTATTGTTGCTACCGCCTTATCTAGTTTACTCTTACGAGCTATACCCGGTAAATTCTTTAATAATGTAACAGTAATACCACCTCATCAAACGCTTACGGTTCGTCAGCCATACACACACACAATCGCAATGGTCACGGTAACAACACTCTGTACACACATACACCCAACGATAATATTGAAATACACATTATTCAATAAATATAACAGCCGAGTTTCGTGTATGTAACCAATGATATCGGTCAACACCTTATATGCCGACAAACCCATCTACTCAAACCGTTACGCTACTGTTCCGACGCTTTTTTGATTCATATACACATTAACATCGTTATTGTTATTATTTTCTAACCTAATAAATACCATAATATAGTAGTAGTGTACATTACTAAGTTCTTCTTTGAGTATTCGCTTGCAATATTTAGGAAAAAATGTTGCGCACTATACAATAGTTCATATACCATAACTAGACAAGTGTATAGCGTTACCCGTAAAAACACTTCTAATCATACATCACTCAAAAATAACAAACGGTACTTATTGGTTCTATTGTAATTATTATAAAAAATATTTTGAAAAATGTATCCAATTACTCTTAAAGACACAACTCTATGAAGTATTAAGTAATGAAAATTCGATAGCATTAATTGTTTAAAGTCGTCCACCAATTAACTTTTGTTGCACGCCCGTTTAAATGCATTAGGTCTTTAAGGGTTAAGCACTAAACATTTTCAAAGAAAATAAATAAGTGATAAGTTGATTTTACGACTGTTGAAATGATCATTATAAATTAATTACTTGATCGAAATCAATAGACTGACATTCCTTTTATGTTATATACTATTAGTCAAACAAATCGACGGAGTAATACCGTAAAAAACAAATGTACTATAACGAACTACATTAAAAAATCAGCAAAGACCTAATGATTCTATTGGCATTTTCTCAGTGGAAGTTATTATAATTGGTGATTGCTAGAAAGTTATTAAAAATTAACACTACATATAGCCATTGTAAATCCGACTTTGCAACTGGGACACGACCCGGTCTAGTTGTACACGGTATTTAATTCATAGTCATCATCGATTAATATTACAAATTGTAATAACAATGCATAAGGGTATAGACTTACAAACTTCCGGCGAAACCGGCGGCCTTGTTTTCGATCACAGTCGGTTCTGGTGGTTTGCACATAATGATTAATTCTTGATCGGACATCATGACCACGCCGGGAAACTGTGGGAACCACACCCGGACGTGAACGAAACCCTGTAGTTAAAACAAAACGAAAAATTAACGACATGGCACATAAAATGTTTAATTGAAAAACCAAACGGTTTAAACCTACGTTTCTCTTGAGGACACCGCACCTTGTGAAGTCTGTGACCAATAGGTTATAAGTCAACAGGGATACATCTGATAAGTCCGGTCGGATCTGACAAAATGGGTCGATCAAGGGATCTACAGTTCGGTCGTCTGCGAACAATGGATGACCTTTAAAACCCTCTGGTTTTTTCAGTCTAGCAGATATTACGTCTTTAACGCTCAGTAACGCTTTGCCCGCCCGCAGAGAATCCGATGAAAACGAACACTGTATTTCAGAAACTGAAAAACAAAAAAAAATACAGTGTTTTATTCGAGTAATTTATATTTTTAAACCACGTATATTAAAACACAATTCATGGATTATTTTTATTAATTAAAAAACGCTCATAGCTAAATAAGCATTTTATATGATTATTGTGCATACAATTAAATAGTGTTTTCGAAGATAAAATAACATATAATTATGTTCTATCTTTTTGTTTATGATTAAAAAATTGTATATAATGTATGAAAAAAAATAATCACTCTATAAATATATCACATTCATATACCTACTAGTACTTGCACAAAAATAAACTCTTCAAGTTAATAAGATTTTGTAAACTTAACTGTTAACTTATTTTTAAAAAAAGTTGGATAAGCTTTAACTATTATCTCGATTGCTTTTTTTAATTAAATTAATTTTAACGAGGTAAAGAAAATCATTAGTCTTGGTTATTAGTAATAAATTATTTCTATACATTTTGATGTGTCTTTCAAAATAATTAAAAATAATAATATGAAATATTATTTATTTATAATATAATATTTTTATAATTTTACTTACCGTCGTAGTCTTGTGATGATACCTCTTGAGCCTGAAACAAAAATTTAAAACAATTATAAAACACGCTCAAGATTTTAAAGGAAATGTAACATGAAACTCTAATTTAGATATATAAATTAGCACATCTTGAAAATAAAAATTATTAACTGATTAGATATAGAGATGTGATGATCCACTTTTACTTGTACATCGATTTAATACATATAGTGTATATGACCGTCATATTGTTGTTTCCATGCATCATACCTGATTAACTAAATCGTTATTTTCTCTAGTACAATTGAATTCTATCAATGACCCTATCAATACACACTCTACAAAGTAATTAACGAAAAAATACGCAACCAATTTAACGTGTTGGCAATATGGGACTTTGGTGTTATATTTTAACGTGAAATTATTTTATCGAACACAAATTAAATGGGTATAAATATTCTAAAACAATAAACTATAAATCTTTGATTAATAACAACAATGAATAATTTTCGATTATATTTCTATTTAACCAATTTGGAAAACGCACAAAATAATATTTAATAAGCTTCACTAAATTTAAATCATTTTTACTTTACTGACTATGGCCGATGGCTCTTACAATTACTGTTATCTTATAATAATACCCAAAATAAAAATTATTTTTAAATTATACAAAATATTTATTATTTATTTAGATTTAATGTCATTTCTAAAAACAATTGCTTATGCCTAAGAGGATAGGAAAGCCTACATAGTTTAGTTCCACGGATTCGAACCCCATATAATCAAACCAAAGAACAATGCATTAACGATTAGGTAAGATACCTAAAAGTATAATATTTTTAATGCTGTTTCAATAGACGTTTGTAGCACTCGACTAAAATCCATGTTTTTACTGAAAATGAAACAAAAAGACAGTGAAATAATTATGAATATTGTAATTCCACACGGAAATACTTGACTTCCGTCGACACCGTTGTGCTGTGACCGTTGAAACACTAACAAAATCGTGCTCTGGTGGATGAATTTCTCTCCTTTATTTAGTAATAGACTCAAGGACGATTCACGTTAACGATCTACAACTCTAAGCTTACCTACATACCGATATTTTTTTTAATAAGATTTCAGATATCTTTTTGAGAAACACATGACCGAATTGTAAACGAATCACAAACATTTTAAGACTTTATAATTATCTAAATATTTTTGAATGAAACTCTACGATATCTTAATGTTGCATCTGGTATGCATGGCACAACGGATTTTTGTTGGCCCACTCAGGTGAGTCTCACGACCTTTACCAAATTTGTAAGTTCAACTCTCATTACACAGTAAAGCATCAACAGATAAAAAACCAATGCATACCGCTATCAGTAGACTGTAGTTTGGTTAACACATGATTTTTCCTGTGGTATCTAATACAAGCAACACATTATAATATATCACCCAGTCTATTTTCTAATTCAGGCGTATAAAAAACATTCCGCATTCGTTAGCATAACGCTGAATCATCCCTGACATACCCAGATCATGTTAAGCTATAACACTGAATTGTTACACAGCTATAGGAAAGAACAATAAAACAACACCCAAAAAAATATTTTTAATCCGGCCAAACAATTACTCTTTTTCGCTAGGCCCTTTTTTTT